ATTCAGGGGTTGTATCTTTCGAAGGCAGATTAGGTCAGCAATGCACTGAAGGCTGTCCAAATTCAGGGGTTGTATCTTTCTAAGGCAGATTACGTCAGCAATGCGCCAAAGGCTGTCCAAATTTAGAGGTTGCATCTTTCGAAGGTCGATTACGTCAATCATAAAATGCTCATAGGCTGTCCAAATTCAAAGACTCCTCCAATGCAGCCTTCAAATAAGTCCTTATAATCCAGATTTAAGGGACAGGTTCGGTGGCTCCTTCTCAGCCCTGCCTATTTCAAGATTCATTGGGGTCTGGCCGGAATTTTTCTGTGCTTGTGATTGTGGACAAAGTGAGAAACAGGAGTAAAGCTTCAAATAAAATCTGGTGGTACAAAAACTCGAGTTTACAGCAGTTGTGTTAGGTTTCTCATGTTTTTTATTAATATTTTTCAAAAACCATCGTAAACAAGCTCCATGTTTTCAGAGCAACTCTTTAGAAAGAAAATATATGCTCTTTGGGTTTGGTCTTGATTAGACCTCTTTGGTGACCCAAATGATGTAAACAGTTTGAGCAAACGGGTCAGACTTGAACCATGTTAGAACTAATGGCCAAATCTCTCATCACAACTTGTGTAAAGTTGAGACGATCAAAGCAGCAGGTTCAGCTGTGATTGATATTAGAAGCTATAAGAGTTTCTCCCTGTCAGCTGGATGTACAGGTTGAGGTTAAACAAAGAGGAYGTGACCGATTCTGAATATCGATTCTGTTTTTATGAATGCTCTGAGTAAACCAGTTCAGTTCTCTGACGTCGTCGTCACTCGGCTCACTAATATCAAAMCCTCGGTGTATGAAGTATTCTGGGACCTTGACCTGAATTAAAGCTGCACCAGAAAAGCTTTGAGCTGAAATCTTATCCAGTCAGAAGAAACTAAAGGAAAATTAACAAATAAGGCTAATTTAGGCTGAGACCCTTGATAGTTATTGGGGTTATTGTCCTGGCTTTAATGAAATGACTGCACCACTCTGATGTTGATCGTACAGAAGCTTTGTGCTGCGCTTTGCAGAATCTGCATTCGCTGCAGCAGCAGGGTGACTCTGCAGGACGGCCTGGGACCATTTTTATCAAACTTCTTACAAATAATCTGTAAAATGCTGCTAAAAGTGGACAGACGTTTTTTTTAAAAATGGCTTAAAAGAATGAAGCATTGACCTCTCATTTGATGAGAGGTGGAGGATTTAGTCTCAGATGTCGTCATCTGCTCTGCCTGAGCTTTATTCTGAAAGAAACAAGAGTGTAAGAATTCTTTGTCTTAATTTTAAAAACTTGCATTTCCTCTCAAGTCTGAACATATAGGTCCTGCTTCAAAATAAACATTTAGCTTTTATTTAGAATAAATTACTGAGCTTTTGTGGATTTGTTTTTGGTGTTTCATCACTAGCAGATGGGGAATATTTATTACATGAAGAAAAGAAAACATGTAGTGTAGATGGAGCCTAAAATAATAAATGCACTATAAAAATCAGAGTATATTTCCATCTGAAATGCTTTCTGGACATCAAGRAGCTCAAATTCTTTAATTAAAATGATTAAAATGCCTTTATTTATGGCACAGAGTTCCAAATCAGTAAAAAATAAATAAAAAGACTAACTTCAGAGCATTTTGGCACAACTGCCTGCTTCAAGGAATCAACCAGATTGAAGCCAAACATCCAGTTCTTATAGTCCACCAACAGCAGCGCTGCAGCTGCAGGCAATGACCAATCAGCACRACTCCACCTCCAAGGCTGATGGAAGATCCTCTGCAGGTGAAGCTTCTTCTAGTGAGTTCTTTAAAAACAACTGGATGGTTGGTTGAAATCTGTTTGAATCCCTGAAGAGAAGCACGTTTGTCCAAACAATGATGCAGTCAGACTAACTCCTGCTGCTCAGGGTGTGGAGGAAAGTTTCAGTTCTGATCTCAGATAAAGTTCAGGTTTAAGTCTGRTTTTCTGTGTTTTAACTTCATAAATAACATAAACTGATTTTATGTTTTATTAATCCCAATAATTTGATTAAACTCTCTTCAAATAGCTGGAAAAAGCAGAGATATGTGTAGATCTTTTACCCCTGGACCCCCTAGAACTGTTTCACTCCACAACATGAACAGGTGTATTTTCAGTGCACATAAAAAATGTAATGTACATTTTTATGAAACACAAGTGAATTGTCTTCATTGATCCTTTTATCTGTGAGAAATAAAACCACAAATRTTGATGGCAATGGTTAGTGGAGTTAATCAGATACACAAATGTTTTCAGGGATTTTTTATTTATTTATTTGTTTTTTTGTTTGACACTACTGCATGTTTAAACCTTCTCCAGGTCAAACTGACCCAGGAACATTACTGTTCCTCAGAAACGAACAGAACAGCAGGGTTAATTTGGGATGTATGTTTGTAAATTGGATGAGAGATTTAAAAAACTGCACGGGGGAGAGGAACCACCTGAAGTCTTGATCAGGCCCGGCCCTGAAAATTACAAGTAAATTTGGGGCCTRGACGTCTACACTTTATATTTCTACACAACTCATGTGAGTAAAATGAGCTGTAGGGCTCTATAGTATTAATACTTGTTCCTGTTGTGATTCCACCTCCTGTCTGAGCCTCTGCAGGCTGCTCGCTGCACATCTGAGCTGCWGTTTCTGCTTCGCATCATGGTTTTGCTGCACACGTCAGGTTAAACGCTTATTTTTGTTGGCAGCAATGCAGAACTTGCAGAAATGAGTGAAGGTCACTGTGTGCTTTTGGTCACTCTGCAGTGTTTCCTCTGCAGAGTCAGACAGTTCCAGCAACATCCACGCTATCTCCTCGTCCCTCCCACCCCGTCCTCGTCTCAACCAATGATCTCTCTTTTTATCACTCGTTTCGTTCTTGTCCTCGCTGTTTTCTCCTCGTCAGTGCAGAAGCGTGTCGTGGCGTTACGTAAGCAGGCTGAGGTGGTAAATCCTGCATGACGATGTGCTCTGTGTCAGCAGCTGAAGCAGTCAGGCCTTCTCTGCAAAGTTCAAGCAAAAAACGAGGGGATAAAACACAATCGTTCAAGTTCTTGTAAGAAAATGTGACTCAAAGTCTGAATATTTCAGCTGCTTATTGTAAATATGAGTATTTAGCTCATTATATTTTAAATGTAGGCTCTAAATTGGTATTTTCCAGTGAAATGAAGCTTGATTTAACTATTTTACAAGCTGTAAACAGGTTCCTAACGTTGATCCAGTTGTRTGGAGTGAGTTATGAGGGTGAAATGTGTCGTGTGACACAATAATTCCACAGGAGCTCGGTCCCCRTGTGGGGTTTGGTTACTTAGAACCCAGCTGACGTAAAAGTCCAACAAAGAGGATTTAAATCCTTCTGAGCCTGGCTATGGCTTCAAAAAAATCTAAAACTGTTTTAAGCTGATGGAGCAGGTTTGATTGATTGTCAAAGAGACAACACAGCTGAGTGCAACAACACTTCCTCAAACAGTCCTGGCCCTCAGAGCCACAGAGTTATGAGATCAAATATTAATGAAAAGGATCCAACTCCTCTCCTCACCGTCTGCTTCTTATTCCGTCTTTCATAATAGATGCTGGCAGCATCTTCCTGTAGTTCTGTACGCTGTAACAAATAAAAAACGATACATATTTTTGAAAGTTAGCTCGGTGTATAATCGTCCCTCATAGGCAGGGCCGGCCCGAGCTAAAGTGGCGCCCTGGGCAAGTTTTCTAAAGCCCACTGCCAATTCATCCACATCCCAAATTAAATTTAGTTTTTGATATTTTTTTATCTTTATAAACCAGGTTGTTCAATTAAAACTGTTAACAATATAAATATATTGAAGTAGAAAACCAGACGTCTCCCTCATACCTGCCGTTCTCTGAGGAGCACCTGTTCATGTGGACTGAAGCAGTTCTAGGGGGGCCCAGGGGGATACGGACTTGGAAAATTTTACTACCCAGAGCTCTGAATTTAGTTCGTTCTTTGGTTTTTCAAAATAGGACAAGAAAAACATCAGGTGTTTTTTTTCCTGTTTTTAAACTAAATAAAAAAAATCAACAGCAAATGTGAAAATGTCAACTTTTTTGTTTTGTTTTAATGATCAAAGCAAACGAGCTTTTTATTTTGTTAGCGTTAAGTTTTCACTGAGCATTTCAGAAACAGACAAAAGTCTTATTTAGAGGAAGTCAGTTTTGAACAAATTACTTAATATTCCAAGTTATGTAGAATAAGGTCGAAGTGCAGCTGTTAAGATCTTTATGAATGGTTTCTGTTTTTAAACCGTTTCTTCCAGCCACTATAAACTCTTATTCTTTGACTTCATTTACGGTATTTCTACATATTAAAAACACTACATTTTTTTTGGGATTTAGCTGAGCAAAGCAAAAATCAAACCCTGTGGATTTTTTATTAGTTCAATTTTGGATATTGAGAACAAAATAAACGTTATTTTTTTTCTTTTTTAAACAAAAAACAAACCATTTCGAACACTGAGAAATAGCCTTTAATCTAAGCTTTATTTGAGATTAGAACTGAAACTTCTGTGTTTATTTTGTATTTTCATTCATACACTGAGAACCAAATGATACTTTTATTGTGAAACATCCTGCACCATATACTGTAACACCTCAGACTAAATCAACTATGCTCTGATAAAAAGTTATAAAATCTGATTTTTAATCCATTTGTTACACCCCCTGGATGGATGGCTCCCTGAGAGTTTGCCTACACTGCCTACACCACGGGCCGGCCCGGCTCCTAGGGTTCTGAAGCTCGTTGAAGCTCCTTTAAACTTTAGGTTTAAAGGGATTTATTTACATAAAATGAGTCAACGAGTCACTGCTGATTGGTTAGGTCTCATTTAGGCCTAAAGGTGATTGGCTGCTGAGTCTGAGCCAGCTGGAGTCAGGAGCTCCATCCTGCTTTAAAACACATCAAGTCAAACCTGTTCGTCTCTGACCTCATTATTATTTATTAATTTTTATTATTATATATATAATTTTCCCCCAGTTTTCATTAAGGATGTGTGTTTTCCTGCAGGCTCCATGTCCTCGGAGTTGAGCTGAACGCCGCAGGGCGAGCGTAACGACAGACGTAAAGCTGAGCGAGCGCTCGTCTGGCTCCATGTCTGCCCCTGCTCCGGCCAGTCGGAGGTCTACGTCGGGGTCGCGCCGGTAGGTTGCACACGAGCATCTGCTTTTATTTGTACTGACTAGCTGCGTTTCCATTGACCATGAAAATGCGCAAATTAGAATTTTGAAAATAAATTTGCGCAATGGAAACACGTCAATTTCGAAAAAATAAGTTTTTCGACAAAATGTTTTTGCACTAGGATGAGGTGGTTTTTCAGCCGTATCGAAATTGGTGTTTTTCGCAAAACTGCAATGGAAACACTTTTTTCGCATCACGGGAGTCACGTGATCAACAACCGGCTGTTTCTACTGGTGAAAAAGACGATGACGAAGAAGATAAAAGGAAGTAGAAGTAGTAGTTATATCACAGAAGTAGTATTAAGTAGTAAACTCACCGACTACAATTTCCCAAAAACACAGCATACCCAAGTATAAGGGACTTGTCTCTGGAAAGCCTCGATAAAAGACGCCGACGTCTCCTCTGATGATGAGCGCTAGTGTCGTGGTAGCAACATGCTATGTGTTTACATCCATTGTAGCCATGTTTGTAATGACTTATCGCGAGAACAAACATATTCACGTGACTTTAATAATATTTCTTACTTAATAGAAACACTGCAGTTGTGAAACTGTTTTTTCGACATTAACAGATTATCGACACACATTTGCAACGGAAATGCAGTTAATAAAAAGGTGTAAAGGTTTTAAAGGATGAATCTCTCTGAAGGAGAAAAAAAAAGTTTGAACTAGGGATGCACCGATATGATATCCAGTATTAATTATGCTGTTGTGGCCGATAACGGATACCAGTATTACACAAACACACACATTTTTTATATATTTATATACACACAAACACACTTGTGTCTTTTTTACTTATCTCACCTCCTGAAACAGAAACACAAACTGCAACAAGCAGGAAATCCAAATCGTACGTTAGTATCGACCCAGTTTGACTTATCGGACTGATACGATGTTAATGCTGATGTATCGTTCATCCCTAGTTTGAACAAAAATAAGTTTTGTAAACGGAACAAACATGATGCTTATTGAATATATTGTTTTCTTCTGCAGATTTTAAACCTCCTAAGCTTTAGTTTAGACGTTGTCTGGATCAGTGAACTCTAACACTCATAAAGTTTTCCTTTTGCAGTTCGTAAATGTATTCAAACGATTGAACAGACTCAGTGGCGGATCTAGGATTTTTCTGAGTAAGGGGCCATCAAGGGGCCAAGTCTTTGTTCACTATCCTTTCACACAAATTCCCAGTGTATACATTTTACACTTCAAACACTTGTAATGTAATGTAATATTTTTTTTAAAAAGGTACCACTTTACAGTAAGGCCCCCCTTATAGATGGCTTTCAAAGAGTTTATAGATAGGTTATTAATTAATCTGTAAACACTTTAAAACTATTAATAAGTGTTTATAATGCAATAAGGACGAGAAAGAGAAAATTGTCCAATATCATTTATTAATGATTAATGAAGCGTAAACTTTACAAATGAATTAATAACCTATCTATAAACTCTTTATAAGCCATCTATAAGGGGAGCCTTATTGTGAAGTGGTATCAAAAATCTTGCACAGTAAATTCTCCTCACCAGTTTTTCATACACTTTACTGAACATAAATAAAATATTTTTAAACAAACGTGAGAAAACCCAGCCRTCATTTGTCAGATGAAAGACTTTTTTGCAGGATTGTTCACATTTTAAGAAGAGAAGAATTCTGTCAGCTTGATTCATTCTGGACCTTACTATTTGACTCATTAGCGCCACTAGTGTTTGAAAACTGCATCCACCATCATCACTCCCAGGTGAAGGACAGATGAGTGACAGGACAGATGGGCACTTCAGGGGGGCAATCAGATTTCAGCTGGGGCCAATGCCCCTGTGGCCCCGCCCCTAGAACCGCCCCTGAACAGACGCCTTGTCGTTGCTCCTGGTAACAGTTATTTGATGAGCTGCGTGTCACAGCTGATGGGATATTTATTGTCATTTGAGTTTTTTTTCTCCAGATATTAATCTATGAAGATTTGATCTTAAACTTGAGCCAACATGTCTGCTGCTGGTGGTTCTAGTGGTTTTCTTGGCCTGACGATGATGATGATGATGATGAGTAGTCCCAGATGCCTCAGTCTGTATCTGTGGTGTCCTCTTTCTCATCTCTCCTCTTCCTCAGATTCAACCCTCTGAAGGCGCTGCAGCCCAAACGCCGCCTGCAGCAAATCTTGGCGTCCTCGCCCGTGCCGGTGCCCAAGCCGGCATCGGAGTCGGGGGCGGGGGCGCCCGCGGCCACAGCGCAGGTGGCCGTTCCGGTGCCTGCACCCCCCGCGTGAGCCACACTTCAGTTCCGGTGTCAGAGCATGCTCCGTGGCTGCAGCCGTAGCTCGGACACTGTAGCCACCCAAACCAACGCTTAGAGAACGAGGTCAACAACAACACACAGGCATCTGCGACCAGCTGAACTCTGGGTCTTTTGTCTGATCTGATTCTGTGACAGAGGAGCTAGGCTTTTTAGCAAGGGGTGGCACATGCTAATAAAGAAAACACTTTTTGGATTTGAAAATTCAAGATGGCCGCCACTGCTAATTCATAAAGGCTTTAATTCAGCTGATTATTTACGATGAAATTTGTTGTGGAGCAGCTAAGAATGAGCACGTGCTGATTGCCGATGCAAATCCCAAACTAAGCTAACTGCTAACTTTACAAAAAGCTATAATTCAGCCGTTTTTGAACCTAAACAGCTGAAAATGTATGTAGTGTCCAAAAATCTTTAACAAAATCTAAATCCAAGGTCACCATCCACCTGTCAGTTATTTGGGGGTGGCACCTCGGGTGGCCAATCAGGTGCCAGGAGTGGTACCTACCACCCCTCTGGCTCCGCCCCTGGAGCTGCAGCRTGAATAAAGCCCATAAATAGCTTTAACTGATGAAGAGAGTTAAAGTTTGAAACAAATGGTCTTTCTTATTTTATTTTCATTTTATTTTACTTTATTTTATATTTTTAAGTTTAAAGTTAAAGCAGCTGACTGGAGTTCAGAAACTGATGCTTGTGCTGCTGCTGTTACCTCTGAACACATGGAGCTCTTTGTGTTTGTGGCTGCAGTGCAGCTGTGATCTCTGATCACTGGCTCATCCTGCGACACACCTGCAGCATTTAACACAGTTTAAACAAAGTAAAGGAGTCTGTGTTCACGTCACTCATAAACACCCCACTGCACCAGGCCCCGCCCCCTGGCTCCATCTGAGCAGATGGAGGGAAACCACAATGCTATGCTGTTTTCTGTCACTTTTTAGCCTCATCGCTTGCCTCAGGCTCCTCCCCCTGCCTGTTTCTGCTCCGTTATTTTCTTAGCATCTCAGATTGGTAAATGTTGATCTTTAAAGAACTGTTACTGCACACAGGACACACTGACTCAGCACGGTTTGATTCAACAAGGTGAATAAAKACTAAATGCTCTCCAGTGAATTATTGCCATTAAACTGCCAACACATCTGGGGGTAAAAAGTCAGGTTTTTATTTAATAGAATTTTTGGACCAAAAAAAATCGCAATATATCACCTTGCTTACAGTATCGCAATATATCGGGATATATCGTATCGTGACCCCTCTGTCATGATATGTATCGTATCGCCAAATTCTTGCCAATACACAGCCCCAATAATAACATGGTAAATTTCATTTCCTGTGAAATGCTTAATGCTGAAAGATTTTAGCTCAAAGCTGCTGAAGATGAAAATGTTTATAGCAAAACTGTTCGTGCGAGGTTAATTTGAATAGCCGACTTCTGCTGAAAGTATGAAAACAAGTGAAAAATCAGAAAGATGGGGAAAAAATGGTAAAAAAAAATGAAACGCGCAAAAAGTAATTAAAATTCAATGTAACAAAGTAAAATTAAGACAGGAAGTGAAACCTCAAATGAGGAAAAACAAGAAAAATATTTGTAATTTGGTTTGAAATGGCTACAAAAGCTGAAACTAGCCGAAAAATAGCTAAAAAGAAAAGTAGCTGTAATTACCACAAAGAAACAAAGCGCACGTGTTTGCTTTATTTGGCAGTAAGAAGCTGAAATTATCACAAAGTGGTGAATTTAGCTGAAAAAGGTGTGAACAGAAATAAGCGAAAAACACAAAACAGCTAAAATWAGCAGAAAGCAGCATAAAAATCTTAAATCAGAAAGATGAGCAACAAGTTGAATTAGCAGATGAATAACGGAGTCAGAATGATAGCTAAAAAAACAAACTGAAAAACAGCTAAAACCAACAAAACAGAAGCCGGAGTCTGAAATAAGCACTAGTAAAAGAAAAAAAAGATCCATAACAAAAGGTAAAACGTAAAGATTTATAAACGTTTTAAAGACTTGTAACAAAACTTGGCTGTAAAAGCTAAATATATAAACTAATAAGTATTGCTGAAGTACCAAGGGTTCTAGCCAGAATGTCCTGACGGAGCTGAACTTTTTGTTATAAAAACTGTTAAAACGAGATCCGTGCTGAAAAACTTACGGAAGAGAAAGCTGTTTTATAATCACTAATACAAATATTTCCTTACAAAGTGCTTTTAAGACAGTAAAATAACCTGGAGACAAAAAAAAACTTGGATTTTTTTAAACTGCTCTTCATCATAAAATGTTAAACATTCATAATCAGACGGACGTAAACAGAAATGAACTTTGTTCAAATGTAAATAATTAAAATAGTTTTATTTACTCTTCAGGCTTCAGTTTTATCTCATCAGTGACGCTGACTCGGCACAAAGACCAGCCGTGTTGTGACGCTGTGTTTTAGCGTGTAGTCACAGTGTCCTGTGTCTGCACCACTCCTCCTGCTTGTCACCTCCTCCAGCTGTGGAGGCCAGTGATTGGGCAATATTCTTTTTTTATTAAACTTGTCATTAATAATTAGAGTTTAAAAAATGATTTCTGAAAATGAAACATTTTAAAATCTATCACGACAAATCATGAGTGAAGTTGCCCATCATGGATCATGGTCCTGTTTCTGCTCAGATGTTTAACTTTGTTTTCAGCAGGATTAAAGGTGGAGCTGCTGTTTATCAATTAAAGACAGGAAACATGAGCGACAGCTGCATGGCTCAAACTGCCTTATGTAGTAAATAAATTGTTCTCTTTTTTTTAAATTGATAAATGTTTTTCAGTAATTTAAAAGCCATAGTGTGCTTGTAGCAAACAAATAAAACATTTAAAAGCAGCTTGAGAGCCAGGCTGAACTGTTGCCTCCTGCTTTCAGTCTTCTAGCCTGAAGGGTTGTTTTAATGGACGAATCTGAGTGAAGAGAAACTGTTTTTAACCCTGGTTCTTCCAAATTATGACTTCATATTTGCCTTCTAGAACTTCTCTACAACCTTATTTTATTTTTTTATTTATATTAATTTTGTACCAAAGACATTTTGAACAGTCTGTGTTTGAGTTTAAGTTTAGGAGTAGAAAGAAAATTTGTTTTCTTTGGTTAAACTATAATCTGTGGAAGAAAGTAAGACAGATGTTGGATTATTTTTGAATATATGATGTGCCAAATGTAAAATAAAATGTTAAACTGTCACTAACGCATTTTCATTATTTACCTCACTTTTTGAGTGTAAAATCCTTGCTAAAACATTTCTGCTAATATTTTTGTCATTTAGCTCACTGCTTCTACATTTTGCTACTTTTTATATGTAAATATTAATAAATGTAGAAGTTAAATCTTAAATGTTGACGTTTACATGTAGGAATTCCAGGATGGAACGCAGCCTTTGCTGTTGGTGTGAGGCTCTTGTTGTGACATCATCTTATTGAGACAAAAGCAACCGCTAACACTGCTAACTCTGCTAATGCTTTCCTACAAAACACTGACAGGTGTCTGAGCTGCAATTTAAACCGCCGGACCACAGGTACCATCCATATTGTAGCAATGAACACATTTTGAATTGTGTATACCATCATAGGCAGATTTAACAAAATTAGCTGTCGTCCTGCAACAAAAACAGCGCTGCTAGTGCTGCTAATTCTGCTGACGATGGCATTTAAATGTAAATTCAAAATGTGTTCATTGAAAACAATGTAAATGTTTCCTGTGGTCCGATAGTTTGAAGTGCAGCTCAGATACTGCCCGCAATTGCAAATTTGATGTCTTGTAGGGAAGCATTAGCAGAGTTAGCAATGTTAGCGTTTGCTACTGCCTCAGGATAATGACATCATAACAAGAGGGGCTGCATTCAGTTTCAAAATACTTAAATGTAAACTTTTGATTTAGGATTCAGACATAGCATTGAAATTTTAAATTGAACATTTAGTAAAAACAGTGAGCTAAATAACAAAATGTCAGTGAAATTTTGTTAACACTCAGTAAGTGAGCTAAATAATGGAATAACAGCTGATTGGACAGGCTCATTCTTGTCAGGTCTATTGAAATGTTCATGTATAAACCTGATTTGCTGTGCTTGTTGTGTTTTGTTTGTGTGAAAACACTTGATGTAAGATGCTTCTGGATGATGAGGCTGTTAGACAGAGATGTGTTGTTAGTGTGCTTTCCTGCTTCCATCAGAGCTTCTGTTCCACTTACAAATGGTGTTCCAGGCTCTCTGAGTGTTACTTTAGGTTCTCTACCGGTACAGGCGTTACAGCTGCAGATTGTTTTGTATCGATGTTCCACATCGGAAGCCAGAGTGAGCTCCATCCTGTTGATGCAGAGCCTCTTATTGAGCCTTGTTGACTTTGGTACCACCTGCTGAGTCATGCTACGTGCTTGACAGCTTTGTCTCACTCAGTAAAACTGTCTGCATAGATTAGTAGCATGCACATAGCATCATGCAGGTGTGTATGGCAAGCCATTTGTGTATATATTTCAAACGCTTGATTTCAAGGACTTTTTGTCAGCTACTTTGCAGCTGCACTGCTCCGGCATATTTGGTTTCACTAGTTTAACATTTAATGCATCAGTTGAAGAAACATTTTTACCAATAAGATGTTTTCCTAAATTATGCAAATACATTGATCAGTTATGTAAAAGTTCATAAAATGTCTACTAGTTAACCTGTATGACAGTTTGGTTCAGTGAACCAGAGCATTAAAAGCCAGTTAGTCGAAGGAAACGTTTTCATACTCTACGCACCGCTGTACCAAACAAGATTAGTTTGTTGTATAAGTGAACCAGTAATCATCAAGATCTCTTACATAGTAACTTAACTAAACTCTTGATTATTTCTTTGTTGTAACGATGCTTCTTCGTAATCTTATATTGCTGGAAAGCCTGTTAAATTCCCCTTTTAAATGGAGCCACATTTGTAAGGATCATGCATGTGTGGGATGCACACATGGAAAAATTGCCAAATCTTCTCTTCCAAACAGTTTATTTTGCTGTTGATTCTTGTTTAGAGCTTCTGGTACGTCCAGGTGCAGCTATAAGATTTATTCCCAAGAAGTATTGTTACAAAAAAAAACTACAAAACATTAATTTACTCATTTCTTGTACCAAGTATAGATTCTTTTAGGTTGAAAGCTTAAATTGTAGCACACTGGTTGACTAATGGACTTTCTTTCTGGCTTCACTAGTAATTAGTAAGATTAAAAACTGAACTAGTTCACTAGTGTGCAACTAAAAAAATGTTAGTTTGCACCAGTCAGCTTGTGTGCATATTGTTTTTTTTTTTAATTCCAACTAACTTCTACGACACAGTTGTCTGTTTAGTTTGGTCCAGTGGTTCATTAAAAAGCCAAGTAGTTTAGGCTACTAGTCCTGCACGTTGGCTGACCACTAGTTGGCAAACAGTTTTACTAACGAGTGGTTGTTTGTCAAACTAGTGCTACCAAATGTGCATTAACTAATGTGCAAAACACGTGTGAAATCAGGCAGTAAATATGTACACAAATAGTTTTCAGCTGGTGTGGTCTGATGAACAGTTCTCTGTAAATTAACACATCTTTGTCTCTGCCCGCTCAGGTTTGACTACTGCAGATTCATTGAGCTAGATTATGTTCCCATGGAGGCAGGCTACATGGTCTCAATGCGTCCGACTAAAGGACACACATCGACCAAGTCTCCGACTAAAGGATACACCGCCACAAAGTCCCCGGATCGCCACAACCGCTCAACAAACTCTCCCTCCACCCCTCGTTCCCGGTCTGTCCCGAGTCCCAGTGTTTGATTTTTAGTCCTCTGAATCACGGGAATGATGTGTCTTCTGATGTCAAACCCACCGACGTGTCAAAGTCTGACCTGTTTCTCTGCATGCTTCTAATTTTAATGCTTTRTCTTTGCTGAACACTTTCTGTTTTAGATGAAACTGTAACATTGTAATGTTCAAAGTGTGCGAGCATGTTTTTAATGTGATGTATGGCATGTTTTCTATTTTAATCTATAAATTCCTGATGGTTTGGTTCAACAGTTCAYCTTAAAGTGCCTGTGTCACGCCTATCCTTCAAATACAAAAAGTCAAAGAAAGCATCTTTATTCTTAAGAAAATTGGCAGTGTACACATGATTTTACCCATTTTGTCCCATAACTGGTCTATTTTCTAAATTTGGCTCAGCCAAAGTGAAACAGGAAGTGACATCAAAGGGGACCTCATTAGTAAAATAAACTCGCTGGTCTCTGTTTATTAAAAACAATTATTTAGACTTTTACTCTTCTTCATATCGAAACATCAGATTCTTCTCTACAGTCTGTGTTGTTGACTTTTGTAACAACACTCTGTTTGCATTCAGACATTCCCCTTTGACATCACTTCCTGTTTCTTCACACACCGATATCTCAACAACTGTTCATCTGAGCGACGTGAAATTTGTTTTGCAGTATGTTATTAATGTCCTCTTTCCAAAAATGCATTCATATTTATTACAAAAATTTGATGTCACGGGCACTTTAGTTTAATGATAAAACAGTAAAAAAAACAACCGGTCTGTTTTTTGTTTGGGGCAGGCGGACGCTGGCTGCTCCCAGCAGCAGAGACCCCTGCTGCAACACCTCCGTCAGCAGCGGCAGCAACTCTGGCTCGTGCAGAGGCAGTGAATGCAGCCCCAGCAAAGGGTAAAACCTCACAACTCGCATGCATTTTGTTACAAAGCTAAATCTAAATATATTTTGTTGTATATTGTCAGACGTCAGAAGTACACATCATGCACAGACAACCATGGAATCCGCCCCCCTCCACCGGAGCAGTACCTCACACCCCTCCAGCAGAAGGAGGTGTGCATCCGACACCTGCGGGCCAAACTTAAAGAGACCGTCAACACGCTGCAGAACAGGTGAGACCCTGTGACAACAACAAAAATTATTTTAACTACCCAGAAATATATATCCTACGCTGATTTTCAATGCACTTCCTCACATTTTGGACGGTTTCTCTGCTTCTCAGGGACACGGAGATCGACGAGCTGCGCACTCAGCTGTACCGCATGCAGGAGGACTGGGTGGAGGAGGAGTGTCACCGTGTGGAGGCACAGTTAGCCCTGAAAGAGGCTCGTCGGGAGATCCAGCAGCTGAAGCAGGCTGTGGACACGGTCCGCGCCAGGCTCAGCGATGCCGGGGGGATGAGTGGGGACGTGGGGGTCCAGAAGTACTTCCAGGACATCAACACTCAGAACCACAAGCTGGAGAACCTGCTGCTCAACATGGAGCTGGCCCAGGCCGGGTTAGCCAAGGAAGGAGAAGCCATACCGGGGTGTAGGACTCGCGTTGGGGGTTCTGCACCAGCGTCCGTTTCAGGAGAAAGTCCTGGGGGAGTACCCAGACTGACAGTGGGAGGGAGAGGGTCCTGCTCCTGCGATGGCTCTCCAGCCCGGTCTTTGACCAGGAGCTCCACCTACACCAAGCTGAGCGATCAGGCGCTGGCGGACCGCAACGACAACGGGACGGACTTCCCCTGCCTGTCGGGGGACGGCACCCAGGACAGCGGCTTCGTGTGCTGTGGGGAGACCAGCATCCCCAGCCGGGCCGACCTGCTGCTGGAGGCGGCCTACCTCTCTGAGGAGACGGCCTCTTTGCTGAACTCCTACACTCAGACCTTCTCCCACTCTGTGCCCCACTCTGCTCCCCCCGCTCTGCCTCACTCCTTCTCTCACACCTTACCTCACTCCTTCCCTCGCATGTCGCACACCCTGCCACACACCCTGCCGCACTCCTCCACCTGCGACAAGCTCTGCGCCGGGGACCGGCTGGCGCCGTACCATTGCGGTCTGGGCTGCGTGAGCCACCCGTGCCTGTCCCACCACCACCTGTACCTGCACCCCCTGAGGGAGGCGGGCATTCAGACCGAGAGCTGCCCCATACCCGCCACCGCTGGGTGCCCCTCAGACCTGGACACCATCGCGGAGCAACGCACCTTTCGCTCTCAGGCCTGCAGCCCCACTTCCACCTGGATGTCCGACGACRTGGAGGAGGACCTGGACTCCATGTCCACCACAACTTCAGTGACGACAGCGACCGTGATGAGTACGGCTACAGAGCCCATTCCAGTGTCCAGAAACCCGCTGGTTCCTCCTCTGCCCCGCTCTGCCACAGTGGCATGCTCCATGGAGAGCCCGGGGAGCGGGGGGAGGGGCCAATCTGAGGACCGGAGAGAGACGGATGATTCTGTGGCAGAAGATCAGGTGGAAACAGTTGTGGTTGGTCAAACGGAACCGGACCAGCAGACAGAGAGAGGACTGGATGGGACGGATGAAGAACTTCGAGAAGGAGCTGAAGAACCAACAAGAGCGCAAGCAGAGCTTCAGTTTGTTGGATGCTGTGGAGAACAGACAGAGACGCCGGTCAGAAACCTGAGAGACGAGGACGGACAGCCAGAGCTTGGTTCATCAGTGGATCTGAGTCCAGGCCAACAGCCTCAAACCTCCCAACCACCCAGGAGATCCACGTCCAGCGAGGAAGCCGCCGGCATCACGGTGGTGGAAGTGGACGACGACGAAGAGAAACCTACAGAACCAGAGGCTGAAGACCCCCCCGGCTCCGGGAACGTTCAGAAAAGCTACTGGAGCCGTCACTTCCTGGTGGACCTGCTGGCGGTGGCCATCCCCGTGGTGCCGACGGTGGCCTGGTTCTGCCGGGGTCCGGTCCGCGGTGGGCAGCCCATGTACCACATCGGCTCGCTGCTCAGAGGCTGTTGCACTGTGGCGCTGCACTCCCTCCGACGGGGAGGCGGGCTGAGGCATTACCCCGCAGGCGGGGGGGACCTGGGGGGATTTCAGATTTAACAGCCCGCCGCCTCAAATCCTGAACGACTTCACCGCTGCGCAAGAAGAGGAAGAGCGAGATCCTGTCTCATTATTAGAAGTTATTCACAAAAGGGCATCTAGGACGTAGAGCTTGGATTAACTCTGCTCCTCATCATCATCACTGTCGCCAACTAAACCTTTGTCCACTGGCTGCAAACTGAATGAGCTGCTTGTAACGTATGATCGATGCTTCAATGTTTAACGGTGATTGTTTAGATCGAAAAGCAGGGAAAATGATCATTGATCTGTCAGTCGTTGGTTATGACATGTTACCATGACTACTGGTGAATGTGTATATACAGTAGAGCTACMACATGTAGAAACGTTAAGTACATATATTACAAAGTTAGAACAACAAACTGCTTAGTGACCAATGTTAGTGGAATAATCCACTCTAATCCAAAACTTCAGACACTTTTCACTGATCTCACAGAACTCAGGTATGTTCCAAGGGTAGAAACACAGCCAACCCTGAAGGTTTCCTTCAGAAAAACCAAATCACCTGAGCCGTCTTGTCTTTACGCAGGTAACGTGTGCAGACCTGGTTACAGATTGTTTTGGTTAGGGCAGGGGTCTGCAATCTTTACAATCAAAAGAGCCATTTCTGCTCCTGGGCTCATTAATAAAATGTGTCCAGAGCCACAAAATAAGCTACAGCTGTGATTATCAACTGGTGGTCCGTGGGCCTTTTCGTGAACCTTTATGGCCAGTGTAGTTGACATAAACCTAAAAAAATACATTGTGAATTTTATTATTATTTTAACACTTCAGGACTGAAGAAAAAAATATATTCGTGCACAAGAAAAATACTGGCTATAGTTTATACAGATTTTCATAAAAACCAGTACAGCTGACCTAGTCAGACATTTTTTTTCTAATTCTCATTATTATGTAGTCTTAAAGGTGTTTAAAGATAATCCTGATGGATTTGAGAGAAAGATTATAGATTTTTTATAGGTAGAAAACAGGCTAGCATGAGCTAACGTTTTACTTTTCATATTAGTATTTTTGTATTAGTAGTATTGATCACATACATATTTGCATACAATTTATTAGTGTTGTGAGTATAAAAACAAAAAAAAAATCTGTTTGGTCACATTTTCAAAGAGCCACTGCAGAGGGACCAAAGAGGCACATGTGGCCCCAGAGCCGCAGGTTGCAGACCCCTGGTTTAAGGGATTAGTCAGAGTCAGCCCAAGAAGAAAAAAAATCCCTGAAATAAGATTCCTGACCTCATATGCCAAATACATTTTTAGCTGTTCATTTAGGGCTGGATTATATTTCAATAACGATATATATTGCGATAAACTCGTGTTCAATATCAGTAGAAAACAAGTCTGATATAATATCCATAATTTCACTGGTTATTAACTAACGGTTGATAACTTTCTTTAAGCTAAACACTGGGATATACACCTTCCAAATAAAAGCTTCAAGCTGTTAATAGACGACAAACGCCAGCTGAAAACAATTGCCTGCGCTTTATTTTGAAATGTGGAAACTGGGGTTTCTTTCTCCCTCTTGTCGGCACACACGATGTGCTAGCTTTCTGGACCAATCCACCATCGTAGGGTTAATATGAAATTATTTGTTGATTTAGGATGCTGTTACACTGAAATGAGGCATTTATAAATGGAAAAGGGTGTCAATAGATGCCCCAACAGCTAAACTCTTGCAGCTGAACGAGGTAAGCTAGCAAAGGTGTGGAGTGAAAGGACAAACTGAGCAAAAACAGCTTGAGAGGAAATTGTGGATAAAAGAGGAAAAGTCAGCAGTTTGGCAGGATTCCAGATATTTTAGGTTTAGATTTCCGTCTYGGTGTTTATTACGAATTAATCCCAAAGTAATTTATAATAAAGGTTTCAATAAAAATCAAGTGGAGCATCATGGTGAAAAGCCGTTATGCTGTACGTGTGGAAGTAAAACTGTTGGGCTTCATTTGGACAATCAGACATCAATTCTGAGTTTCACATTGCCGGACAGGACACGGTAAATAAATAAAAAATAATAATAATAATAATCGTCCAGCCCTACGTTTATGTATTTGACAAATCTAGAACCTTAAATCACCAGGAAAACAAGCCTGGGTAACATTTTTGGCGACACCATGTTCTAAATGAACTTCACTTTTTAAACTTTCAGAGTTTACGCCACATGTACGGGTGGGAATGACAAAAATACGCTGATTGTTTCTGAGCACTCTGATGGACTGAGGCCTGTCCAGGGTGAACCCCGCCCCTCGCACTGTGACTGCTGGATATGGGCACCAGTGACCCTGAAAGGAAGAAACAATTCTAGATAATGTTTCTGAACATCAGCAGTCTCTGCTGTTCTCAGCCACTCCTAAAGCTGCAGTAAGAGACTAAAATAATATCTGCAGGTAACGTCTGCCTCCTACAAATCAAACTTTAATACATGTATTTAGTCTGCACTTAAAAATCATGTAGATTTTTATGCACTGTTGGTAAAATATTCAAATACACAGACCAATGTTTTGGACTGGAGGAATAAATCTTTGCATGTTTTAAAGTTTCTGCATTAAAGAATAAGAAAATGAATAATTGCACTGCTGCACTTTTCCCWGCAACTGTCTTTTAAAGCAGATTGATTGGTGCCACCTGCTGGTTGTATCAAACACCCAACATGTTCACCACAGGTTTCCATCAGCACGCATTCATAAAACATCTCATTTGTATTAAATTACTCGAGTAAAATTTGGATTATTTCAAATAACGTGTTAGACGACTTTGGCATTATGTCCAAAACAGTGAAAATATCCTGAGATTATCTCTAAAAATCAAACCTCAGAAATAAAAAGCGCCAGTGATTTGAGTCTTGGTTGTGTTTCTACCCTGATTGTGTTTTGACAGAATCTCAAGCTGATTTTTTTCTTCTTCTTTACGCACAAAGTTTTGATTCTGCAGTCACGACCTAAAATGTTTACTTTGTCACAATTTTCTCAATCATAAAGAAACGACTGAACATTATTAGCTTTTGGCTCAGTTGAAAAACTTATAACATTTTGTTTTTTATCCAAGTTATAACTGAGTTTATGATTTCTGTACAAACTGAAACAAATCCCTATTTTTGTGCCTATTTTCTTCCTAATCTGTAAAACTTATTTCAGGTAGAGGTTTTATCTCCATTAGCTACGTGCACATCAGGTTTCAGGCAGGAATATTTTCCACTTCTATAGAGAGAACGCTGACGTTAAACTAACAGTAGCTCAGTCCAACATGTTAATGTAGATCTGAATGAAGTCTGTGATCTGTGCTGTAGATTTCTGCTCAAACTGTTGCTCTTGTGCTGTAGTTAGTCTTTACCCGTCACTCTGGTTAGTGTTTCCAGTACAACATTTATTCCACCACAAAAAAAAAMAAMAACATAAAAATACTGCTCTGTGTCTTTAACAAATCAGCTCACAGGATTCCTTCAATGGAACTCCTTAACAGTTCCGATGTATTTCAAATTATATTTTCATAATCTGTATGTAAAGTGGTATTTCTTCTGTTTGCTTATCTTGTGCAACAAACTGTCTGAGACGATGTGGCAATTAAGAGGGTTTAAAAGTTAAACTAGCACTGGGAAAAAAAATGCAAATATTCTCAAAACATCGACAAAGAAATGAAAACTGAGTAAAAATCCATTCGTAAAATGATGGAAATCGACCCGTCAAACACAAACCCATTATGGACAGAAAACAAGTTGATTCTGAAATATTGTTTAGAGATAATGAACTTATAAAAGTGCTGAATAACTGAGATCTTAAAGTACCTGTGATGCAGATCATTCAGATATAAAAAAAAATCAAAGAAAATATCTTTATTGAATGAAACTTGGTAGAATGCACATGATTTTACCCATTTTGACATAACTTCCAGATTTTCTTTTGAACTTAGCTCAACCAAAGTGAAACAGGAAGTGACATCAAAGGGGAACTCTTAAAGAAAATGAACATCCTGGACTTAGTTTATTTAAAAAACTATTTGAACTCTGACTCTGCTTCATCTCTGATAGTGACTCAAAATAATCGAAACGATCAGATTCTCCTCTACGATTTATATCGTTAGCTTTTGTAGCAAAGCTTTGTTTACACGCAGACGTTCCTCTTTGACATCACTTCCTGTTTCTTCACAAGCTAATATCTCAACTTTTTGTCTCAGCATCGTGTTTTTTTCACAACATGTTAATGTTATCTTTCCAAAAACGCATTCATATTACAATAATTTGATGTCACAGGTACCTTAACAGTATGATGGTGAGATTTGAAGATGAGAAGAATTTTCTCTTTTATTTTTATTTTGGTTACATAAATAAACATTTTTTTCCAGTTTATACATACAGTGCACTTTTAATCACTTTATACATTTAAAGCAGTTGCTTGAAGTTGAGATTGTTTATCCAAAGTGTTTGTCCACTGGTTTAACTGGATTGTTTTGGTGTTTAGTAGTTTACAAATCTCTGCATTGTTTCAGTGAATTCTGCAAATCAACATTTTTACATCCAACCTGCAGTTTAACTGTACAATCCTGTAAACTGTTGTTTTTTTCTAAAATTGTTTGTTTGAGGAAGCCCGGTGTTTTTGCTTTGAGTTTATAGTAGAGACAATCATCATCCAGTGGTGGGCACAGTTGACCCGCTAATATCGGAACTAGCTTCTCATTTTAGAAGATTAGTGTTGTCTGCTTTAGAAACCATTAGCGGTCTGATTAGCTTCTGCTAAATTAAGTTCCACTCATTTTAAATCTGCTAAAAATTAATACGTGTAAAACTTCTGTTTTCAGATCTCAAATTAAATTAAGTATCTCTTCTTACAAGCAGTGCTGGTCTGTGTTTGTTCCATGTAGCATCTTTAACAGCTAAACTTTAAACTAAGACCGTCAAATAAAATAACATTTAACAATATTTAATAACAAATTTAAGAAATTTGATTTAATTTGTTTAATTTAAGAAATGACTATCCTTAAAATATGGTTGTAAAAGTAGAAAGTGCTTTTATTCTGAAAAAGGTAAACTGGAATTATCAGAAATTACACAGAGCTGTAACTGGTTTGGATTGGCCGATTTGCCACAGATGATCCGGCCCACCTTCAAATTAAACCAATAGAAAACTAACAGGTTTTTTTCATCCCAGTCATCTTAGCAGTTAGCGTTAGCTTCCACCATTTTTTAAAAAAAAATCTGTTTAGCGGATTAGCATTAGCGGAGCTAAGATTGTTGTTAGCAGATTAGCGTTAGCGGAGCTAAGATTGTTTAGCAGATTAGTGGTTAATGAAGCTAACATTTTGGTTAGCTGTGCCCACCACTGATCATATCTATTAATGAAATCCATAAAATGATGGAATGAAGGCCTTGAAGGATCTGTTTGCTTATCAATAACACTTCTTCTTCATTTGTTGCACTCATTTTATTCCCATTATCTGATTGTATGGATGATTTTAAATTAGGAGGCGATCAGAAAAGAAGCCATATGTTGTAACCTGTGTGGGAGGCAGCCTCCTCCTCTGTGATGACTGTAAAACAAAAGGTGAATTACCGTCGTTAAGCACAGGTGAATGTGACAAATGGTGAAAATAGTTGTTTTGGTGGATTTGTGAGGCTGTAATGAATGTTGAGTTGCAGCTACAATCCTAAAATCCATCAATTTACTTCTTTCTATGCACAATTTAGAGTTTAACATCAACAGTTATGTTGCTAATCTGTGTTGATCATTTTATTAAAGGGGCTATATCATGTAAAATCAACTTTTTTGAGTTTTATATCATGTTATAATGTTATACTCTCATCAAAAACATGCCCAACGTCTTACTTTGATTCATTCATGCATGTTTGAAAAACCCTGTAGTGTCCTGAGGCAGCCAGGCAGGGGAGCAAAAACCACCGGTTGGGACTAGAACCGCCTTTTGGGACCATCTCCGCCTCTGGGCTGTGTCTCCAAGCCGAGCTTCCTCATTAAGGAGCACACCTCCCCACCCCACACAGCCAGCCCATGACTCCTGCAGGCTAACAAAGCAAACAACGGGTGAAACTGAAAGTGAAACTGAAACTGTCAACTGAGCTCCTAACTACTTCTCACTCAGTGAAGCTTTTTCAGATTCAAAATACCTTTTGAGGAAATGTCTTTTCAGATGCCAAGTAAACTAGAGTTGTGACGTTCGCGAACGATCCGAATCTTTTGAACGTCTCTTTACAAYGAACGATAGGAGTCGAATCGCGGGCAGTAACGAGCCATTTGTAGTTTCTTTTTTTTCTCATATAATCTTTATTTTTTCATACTTAATGGCTCCCACTTTACKTTTTCACAGAAAACAGGCGTAGCTGTGGAGTACAGAAGCTCACGGCGAAAGAAGGAGGGGGGGGTTCCGCTTGACCAACACATGGTTCCACCCATGTGATGGGATTACGTCATTACATGATGACACATATCCCTACGTGATGACGTAATATGTTCAAAATTGAACGGCTCTATGAAACAAACGGCTCTCCAAGATCCGAATCCCTTCAGAGAGCCATTTATCCCATCTGTAAGGTAAACTGCATCACAGCGCATGCGCGCAAACACCCCCCACCCCCCCGCACTTAAATGGGTGGGACAGAAGCAGAAGGTGGTTTTTAAAGAGACAGAGGCCAATTTCAAGGTGTTAAGAAGAGGAAGTGATGAGAGAATAAGTTTATTTTCTATTAAAACATAAAAACAGCATTTTAATAACAGCTAAAGTGACATTGATACTTTATTATGGTATAGTATTTAAATATGCCTGTGAAACACATAATATTGYCCCTTTAATTTTCCATTAGGATGTAAATTGTTTCATGTGACTTGTTTCATTGCAAGCTACAGTAAAATAAACAAAAGAAAAAAAACATTACACTTAATGAGATGACAGGAATTCAGAATCTACAAAATATTTTACTAACAGGACATATGTGCATTTGGTTTTAACTGAATTTTATCCATCTGTTTCAGGACTGCTGTGATTTTAGTCAAACTGATGCAGCTCATGCCTTATTTAAAGTGTTTTTCTTTGTTACAAAAAAGAAGCTTGTGTTTTTTTTTTCATTTATGTCAATAATCTTTTTTTAAATGCTTATTATTTTACAACAGTAGAGCAATAAGTGTTTATTTTTGAAGTTTTAGTGTGAGGTTCTTTTGTTTTTCAGAATTCGTAGCTCAGCAGAATTACTCAGAATAAATCAGGAACCTTAAGAATCAAGAAATAAGGACATAAATGTGCCCTCAGTACAGTTATAGCTGCCTTTTTGATCAGTTTGTTGTTTTGTTTGTGTTTCTACCTCACACTTTAGCTTCATGTTGAGTCTTTGTGTTGCCATAAATAAATGAATAATGATGCTTTTGCTTCACTAATTGTTTCTTGTTAAGATGAAAATGAGCCGGGAACACTACCTGCTGTTTTTTTTATGATTTTGTTTGTTTGCTACAACAAAGTGGGAGTTTTGTTTTCCAGATAGAGTGAGGAGTGTTTATAAATGTATTGTTTTATTCTTCATCCTGTGTAACTGTAGAGGTCATCGTCCAGTCTCTGCAGACATTCTTGTACAGAATCAAAGCATATTATATTTGGGGGAAATGTGAAATAACTATTTTATCTGCAATAGTATACAGTAAAAAAAAAACTATATCTCCCATCACACTGTATGGAGGAAGGAAAAAGAACATCTCCTATATTAAAACAGCATGGAGGAATTTGTTTTGTGTTCGTCTACTTTATTACATTTAACCGAAAATCAGTGGCGGCTGGTGGATTTTTMWCCAGGTGGGGCTACAACTCCAAAATAGACGTATCCCTAAAAGCAATCAAACATGTACTAAGTTGTATCACGCCAGTATATTTATTAAACAAATGACAATAATAAAACAGCATTACAATGTCATGTAGTGTTTTATTTTTAGWACATAAATTTTGCTCTTCTGTTACTGAGAAGCAAATTTCTTCATGACTCTGGTTAAAGTCAGGCATGTTTTAACCAGATTCTTATAGAGCATGGTCAGTGTGAGRTGTGATGTTGTACCTGAGGAAAGTCTGGATTCTCTTCAGTGTTGAAGCTCCTCTCAGATTCAGCTGTGGTCAGAGGAGATGTGATGAGGATCTTCAGCAGAGTCACAGTCTCTGAAGATGCAGATTGTTCTCCATGTAGAGCTCCACAGCACCACTGCAGCTCCTGATCCCATAAAAGACTGTTCAGTGTTTAGCTTGGTCCTGTTCAGCACTGCAGCCTCCATGGTGGTGAACTGGAGACCTGCAGGAACCTGTCTGCCTGCAGCTCTGATCAGATGCTTGTGAATGGCTCAAGATGATGTCACAAACCTAAAAAAATGCACTAATTTAATTCAATATGGAGATGGCTATAAGTTAACTTTATAATATTCAATATATAGAAAACAACTGAAGTTATGAATACACATGTTAATTTAACAAATTGTTGCACCTCTAAGGTATTATGTTATGTTATGTTATGTCATGTTAAAGCTGTGTTAACAATTATAAAACAATATTACTATATTATACTATGATTAAAAGCACAACTACTATGATTAAAAGCATTACAAAAGTATTTTAGCTTTTTTTCTTACCTGTTTAAAGCCATGCTGGGTCAGATCCTGATGCTTTAAAAACAAGGCAATGAATCAAAACAAACCATTAGCCTCGCTAAAAGCAGTTAGCTTAGCCTGTTGCTAATCCAGTTCTTGGAAAATAATGGAGTGTAAACTCTCATCAATATGTCTTTGTTCTGCTGCTTTTCTTGTCCAGCAGATCTGGTCCAAGCTCTTTTACTTTAAGCTTCTCCTGGTATGTTCTGGTCTAAAACACTTTTTTGTTTTAAGAAACTTGGCTAAGTTGTTTAGCGCCTCCGCATCTATCTCCTCAACCACGCCCACATACACTCACACTGGAGGCACGTTTTTTGTACGTCCACCCTAATTGGCTGAATCCTGTGGCTTTGGGCTGATCCTGGGCAGATCAGAATTAGCCCCAATGAGCCGCAAACCGAGGGGGCGTGGCGAGACGTCTGTCAATCATTCTGAACCAGAACACACATTACATGAAAATGGGCTGTAAAAAGTTGTTATTTATAAATTGTACATAATTATAATTTTATAATATTTGTTTTAACATTTTTTTTGTGAACACCAGGGAGGGCTTAGCCCTACTAACCCACTTGTACCAGCCATCACTACTGAAAATCACATTCCCTAGTCAGTTTTCAAAATCAAATCCTAACAGCTAAAATGACGTTATGCACCATCTCATTTATGAGAACTCRTACTATTTCATGAGAATTACTCTCAGCTATTAATTAATACACCAAGTTTTGTGCTCCAGTTGTAGTCCGAAGCTGGAAATTCAGACTTCTAAGTCAAAAATATAAACTAAAATGTCCCTAATATCAAACTCTGTGTACTTAAGTAAATATTAAGCCATGTTTTAATGCTGTTATATGCAGCGTAGAGCACCATTATTACCCACAACTCAATCTGACCAATCATAGCTAACCTAAACTCCACCCACAACTCAATTTGACCAATCATAGCTAACCTAATCTCCACCCACAATTCAATCTGACCAATCACAGCTAAACAAAACTCCACCCACAAATCAGACGAATCACAGCTAACCAAACTTTGCCAACATCTCATTCTGACCAAATTTTACCCAAACCCCGCCCACAACTCAATCTGTCCAATCACAGCTAACCCAAACTCCGCCCACATCCAAAAACTCTCACTTGACTGCAGAGACRCCTGACTGGAACGCAGCAGGTACTGTATGAAATGTGCAGCAGTTTGAGATATTTTGCTAACACTACAAACACATGCACATCATAACATCACACTGCCAACACATAACATAAAAGCCAAAGAGCAGTGAAGTTATGTGAACAGAAAGAATTTATTTGTTTTACAATATTATCTTGGTTACATTCGTATATAAACTTTTAGAATTTTTCTAATATTTTATTTTTTTACAGAATGACAGCATTTTTGTTTTTCTCATCAGATTGCATACCAAGAAAGTCAGAGAAGTACATGCATCTGAACAGCAACAAAAGGAGAAACTTTTATATAACAAGTAGAAATTCACAAGTGTAAGCTCCGCTCAGTCTCACTGTGCTCATCAGTCGGGGGGACGGGGGGACGGGGACAGCATGGTCACTACCTCAACCTATCGATGTGGACACGTTGGGTTTCTGTCTTTCACATACGGACTGTTTAATGAGTTCTCTGGTTAGCATGAGGCACCACAAACACCATTTAAAAATAACAAAAAAGGGAAAATTGTTGAAACAAACACAGTAACGTCTCATCAAGGTAATGAAAAGTGCACTTAGCGGGTACGGCCCGGCTCGGACCCCCCTATGAAATAATACCGACGATTCCCTTGAACATGATCACCTGAAACACGAGACCAAACAACACTTTACAACCAATCACAGAAAATGTGCTCAGACTTCCCCCATCTGTTTTTCAGCTGTGAGGGAACAAGCTCCACCCCCCCTTTTTTTCCTCTGGAATGTTGGGGACACACGTCGGAGCAGGGGTCTGCAACCTGCATGTTTAAAACACTTTTAGCATCTAAATTAAGTTTATAAAGAGACAAAATCGAGCCAACTAATAATTTTTTTCTCTTGTTTGAAAATCCAATCGGCAGTAAGGATTAAACAAACATTAAGCTGCAGATAAAGGCTTTTATTATAAACTTTTCACATTATTAAAAGAAACTTCTTGCATGTTTCTGCAATTACCTCTTTGTGATGCTTTAAAATCTACAATAGATGTGATGCAGAACTCTAGTTTCTGCATCTACAGCAATATAAAATGCTTTGCTGCGGTGCAGAAACCCTACGGATACTTGTCAAAGTTTATTATTTTTAGTTTAAATTTAAATCCAACCACTGCTCAGGCTGCAGACCCCTGYGTCAGGGGAATGAAAAGGTTTGAACTGACGTGAATATACGGACTTTAAATTTGAATAAAACTGTTAAACTAACAGATTTCCAGCATACGGCAGAAACTAAAAGCAACTTCCTGGTTGAATCAACCCTACTGGCCGGGGTAAACGACTGTACAGTTATGGCCTCGCATCTCCACACTGAGGAGGAAGCTCTGGACTCATGATCGTTTGTGCAAGTTTTTAAAAAGAAAGAAACGACTCTAATCTTGATCTTGAATATAAAAAAAAAGGTAAAGATTAAACTGTTAACGAACAGACAGGAACTGATGTATAAAATGTAGAAAAAGACAATTTGCTGAAGGAGAAATGTTACTGGTCATAAAGGAAGAGGGCTGAGATGTACATTAGGAGGAGTTTGATATGAAAAGAGACACAAAGATGTAAGAAAAGGGAAAGAGTCTAGTTTCTGGATGTCCTGACAGATTCTGGTCCTCACACCTCGGGGATGGAGTGATCCATGGATGACCGCAGGAGGCCGGTGGACATCCTGAGGAGAGAAAACAAACATTAATCACCCTGTTAGAGAAGAAAACCCTGAATATTGTAAAAGAAAACAACAATAATGACATTTATTTGTGGGCTCACAAAAACAAGCAGGGCTCTAAAGTGTGACTAATTTGGTTGCAAACGTGACCTGAGTTTTTATAGTGGCACTGGTGTGACCAGTCGTTGGAGGAGAGAAGTGAGTCAATGTTTTAAATCCTAGCACAGGRTTAAAYGGACACTGCTTCCAATAAATCAAACAAACCCCAGAGACATCTCATCCAATTAGAGCAGAGCAGGGCGGGGYTTAMGGTGAGGCCAGGTGCAGCAGAGGTCAGTCCTGAGTGAGGAGACCTCTCCTCCCTCACTTCACTCCTGAGCTACCAGAGACTTTGTTCTCTAAAACCAAACTTCATATTAAATATTTGTGTGTTCAGAGCGTCGTTATCCAACAGATACGTCCAACTCTGAGACCAAACTCCTCTCTCCTCGTGAGAAACTGCTGTAACGGTTGTGCTAACGGCTGTGAGTCTTTTAGTGAAATTCACTGTTTGACTTCTAATTAAACATGAACTCTAACAGACGAACATTTATTTTTGCCATATTAAMGCAGACACGATTCTCTGTTTAACGTTTATATGTCTTCTGGTTCAAACAAAGAGCTACATAATTAACTAAATATTTGCAAGTTAATACTGTCTTAAGTTAAAGCTAACCTGTAAAACTTTGACGATAAATGTGATGTGATTGAAAACGTGGGTGCAGCTAAGAACAAAAGTTACTCCTAATTTACACTGGATGCGGTCCCTCTCCGGTCTGGTCCGCTCTGCTGCGGTCCCACCTCCACAGCAAATATGCAGCCATTCTAATCAATGAGAGTGTTTGTTTACACTGAGTCTGCAGGGCGGCGGCGATACGCCAGATTTAGAATCAATCCTATTTTTGCCAGAGCTGCACCGGAGTGAATCTACAAAGATCATATTGCACCAAAAAAAAAAAAAATTTAACAAAAGGCAGAGTAATTTTGTTGAAATCCCAGCTACATTAATAAATATATGGATATATTTTTACACACATGCTGTCAGAATGTATCGTTGTGTTTACGTCGCCACACGACACAAGTGGATTTTATTTTGAAATCAGAAGTTTCAAAAAGACGACAGTGATGCAGTTTCAGCTGTGTTTGGAGTCTGTCTTCCACATTCATCACTGGATTTATACAGAGTTGTAAAGTAACTAAGTACAAATACTTTGTTACTGTACCTAAGTAGAATTTTTGGGTATCTGTACTTTACTTGAGTAATTATTTTTCAGCCTACTTTTTACTTCTTACATTTTTAAAAAAAAGACAAGTAGAAAGTCTTCAACTTTTACTTCAGTTCTGCTTGTTTTCATTGCATCTTGTTGTTGTAAAAAATAAAAACTATCCATATAAACTGAGCCTCCTAGATAGAGTGAGTTTAACTGTGGTTGAATGAGAAGTATAAATATATAAAACTCTGATAGTGTATTAGTTTGTACACAAACAAATCATGTCACACTCCAGCAGGACAGAATCATTCAAATAAAAGAAATATACTTTAGGACTTTTACTCAAGTAATATTCCTAAAGGAGACTTTAAATTTTACCAAAGTAAATTTTTGGTAAGACATTTTTACTTTTACTCCAGTATCACTTTGTGGTACTTTTTACAACACTGGATGATCACACACTTCCTGCACATGTTCTTGGACCTCCTCTGTGCTTCACAGTGGACCTGATGCTGTATAAATTGGGGTGCAAATGAACAGCACTGCACTGTGCAGCAGAACCACATCCAGTGTAAATTAAGGTTTAGGTGCACTAATTCAACCAGTGTAAAAGTTAGTCTACAGCCCTGAACAAACAGATTAAATATCACCTAATGTCATTTAATCCTGCTTTTTTTTTACAGTTAAAAGAAAAGAGCCTGTTAGATTAGACTTTGTGTTGAAAGAAAAACTGTCACTTCAGTCCAAACCTCTTAATCATGTGTTCATAGATGAACTTGGGCATGATGGTGATGGTCATGGTGGTTGGAGAAGTGTTCAGGATGTCCTTGATCTGAGAATCCTGTAAAATACGAAGCACAGAAACGAAACAAAACATTCATTTTAGAGGTTTTTCTGCAGTCTTGGATTCCTGTGGTGTTTATAAACCTTTTTATTTTAGCTTCTGCTCTTCGCTCAGATCAAACAGAATAATTGTACAGAAACCTTGAGTCCGATGACGTTCTGCCCGTTGATTTCACAGATGTAGTGGTCGGTCAGCATGCCGTTGCGGGCTGCAGAGCCGTCTTTGACCAGCGAGGTGATTTTACCAGACTTGTAGATGAAGCCCACRTGGCCTGAGCTGTCTTTGTGCATGGTGATGGTGCGCTGGAAGGGTCTTCATGTTGCAGAAACAGGGGGGCACATTTAGACTTTTAGAACAGGAGCATTTGTTTGTGATTTGAGGAAACAGAAGAGTTATTAAGCCCCTCCCCCTCACCTGTCCCTCACCACCATTTCGATCCGGGTCTCAGCTGCAGCCTTCAGAGCCTTGTGGGCCTTGTCCGTGCTCCAGCCGGCACAGTTCTGCCCGTTGATCTGCAGGACCTGGTCCCCGAAGCGCAGCCCGGCCAGGGCGGCGGGGGAGTTGGCCTGCACCAGCTGGACAAACAGGCCCTGAGAGGCAAACAGATCAAACATTCAGAGAGGAGGAGGAGCAACAACACTCTGCAGATGAATATTTTATACTGTGTGTTCAGTCTTACAGCAACGGTGACATCAGTTTAAAAAGTACACAAAAAAATGTGCATTCTGCTGTGAATGTTTGCTAAAGCCTCAATATCCAATATATTATTAAAGCAATTAAAAATACACTAAATTAGCTTCCTCAGCTTTGAAAAAGTTATGGTAAGTAATCAAGAATATCTATTTGGATTTGATAAAACTGTGGGATAAACCTTGTGCCAAGATAAATTGAATCTGAATGTGCAGAATTTGAAATTGAATCATTGGTTTGAAAATAAATTTCATTAAAATGAAACCTAATTTAAAGTTTTGTATCTGAATTAATTTGCTTTGAAACTGTATTTTGGTTCATTAAAAATCCATTTTCACTACTTTCACTTTCAGTTCCATAATTCAGATTTTTGTGTCACATCCTGGTCCT